CCCTCCCGCTTTAACTATCAGTAAATATGCTCGATTGGTTGAATACTCAGTACCCCCACTGCCTTTAAGTATAGAAACCGTAGATACACATATGAAGACACAAAATGTGGATTAAACAGGGTCGGTTATGTTCCGAAAAACAACGCCATCGACTTCTCGTAGATGAATTATAATATTGTAGTGTATACTACCCCCAACGCCAACAAAATCATGTTTCCATGGCATAGCATTTTTCTCTAAGAATTTATTGCAAGGTTTTGTCAACAAATACAAACATCAAGTACGACAATAATGTTAATATATACATAAATAAATAAACAAATAAATAAATATTTAAATAAATAAATACGACAAATCTGTATAACGTCGGCATCTATTCATGTTCGATGTGAGTCCCATGCGACGTAAACAAGTCAAGTAGTCAGTTCTTTTTCGTAAACATGTCGATGTCAATAAAAGTAAGTTTAGTTTTTGTGTTTGGTGGTGTTTATTATGTTTAAGGTCTTCTAGAAAAAGAGATCGATGCTGATGAAGTCATCGCTGACGGTGACGGCGATGACACAATCACGAGTGGTGAAGACGCTGGTGACGTTATTTTTGGTGATGGGGCAGCGGTGAATGCGGAACGTGACGATGGTATCAAAGTTTTTGCCTTCTCTTCTGACACATGGACTGTAGAGGACGCTGGTTCATTCAATGGGATTGGTTTATAGAGCGGATATGATGGCTGGACTGGACTAGGATGTGGTAATGATCCGATCTTCTTGTGGCGACGCCATTTCGCTCGACGGTTTGAAAACCACACCTGGTATAACAAACAAAAAATACACATGGGATTTAGACGAGAATTCAAATAACAACAAGTGTTTCATGTGTTTCATTTGGGCAATAACGTTTAACGTTGCTAGCGCATGGATGACAGAGGCACTTACACAAAATCAAGAAGTCTCATTTATTTTGGCCGCTTGGGTACAATTACGACTATTCAGAAACATTTTTTTTCAGATTTTAAAAATGTTAACTTAGAATGTTGAATTTTGGATGATATATAACCCAGACATATTCAGGAATAGTAATTTGTTTTTCTTTTGAAACATTGTCAGTGAAATTGGACCTATTATACTGCAGACAAGGTCGTCTGGCATTGTGCTGTTATTTTAGGCACTGATTCAAAGGGAGGCTCTGTGACGTAACTGGGAGTTGACGGGTCACGTGGCTAAATAAAATACCTGAACTCTTGCCTCAGAAAGGTGGGTCTTATTAGCCAAGTCTTCTCTCGTGTTGACACATGGGTAGTGCGTTTTGTCGAACTCTTTTTCTAATACATCTAACTGGTCTCCAGAGAAAGTAGTCCGGCTGCGTCGCGATTTTTTCTTTTGTTCTTCGGTCTGTTCCTGTTTTCTTGTTTCGTCTTTGTGGCTTGTCGTTGTAAACGTTGGCACTGAGCTAGTTGGAATGCCTAAACAAAATGTAAGCATTTTTATTTTATGTTTGAAGCATTTAGCAATATTTGCTAATACAAACTATTACAGAGTACCCCATAGGTGTACGTGACAAGTTAACTGTTAATGAAACCATACTGTGATTTTGACGCAGCGTAAACTTGGAGTTATGCTTTTCAAGCTGGGACTATTTTACACTCTATAATTGTGCGTATTGTTAAGGTGGACGGCGTGGCTGGTGGCTAATGGTTTCTCGTCAGATGAGTTCGGGCTAATTATTCTATTTGTCGAGCATTTAAAAAACAACTTGTTATAAAAGTAAATTATACACAACTGCTCAGTAAGACGTATACATTCATCAATAATTTTTAAAAAGGAATTTTCACTCATAAGAATGAGCTGTCTAGAAATACATCGTATAAGTGGCGGTCTCGGCTTGTTTGCGGTCTGCATTTCCTCGTGTTTCTTTTAGTGTGTTATACTATAGCGCCGCCAGTGTTGACGGTGCCGGCATTCCCGCTACCTTGCATGAAGGTGTAAGATAATAAAACGCTGTGACGATTAAATTTCAATGACGATGACTTTTCAATTATCTTGTACATTTCACGAAGAATACAAAATTAATGTATACAGACTATTTGTACGAATACGAACAGAGAGAGTAAACAAACTTACCTCTCAATGACGTCATTGGTGGAATATTTAACAAGGATGTGGGATAGAGAGAAGTGCCACTGCTATTGGATGCAAGCGACGCACTCAAATTGTATGGTGATATCGTTGGCGGCGCTGTAAATGGGACACCATGGGGCCATGAGATTGGATAATGCGGGTAAAGAGCTTGTTCCGCTGCCCGTGCATACTCGGCCGCGGCTCGCTCTGCTGCTCGGTTTCTCAGTATCCGGTTGATGGAGCTGACACTAGGAACGGTACTATTAGTACACACACCTACATATAAAAAAGGTAATCAGTTAATTAATGATGGAAATAAAAGAAACTTCTGCTAGTATCAAGGAACTTCACACGATTAAATAAAATTAATTTGAGACGATGGTTCACTGGGTTTGGAAACAGTAAGGTCGCACCGGTTTATAAAGTTTGAAAGCAGTAAATCTGTAGCTATTTGTTTATGTAAGCTTGAAAACAGAAAATCGAAGACGATGGTTTACTGGGTTTGGAAACAGTAAATCGGTAACGATGGTTTATTTAGTATGAAAACGGCAAATCGTTGACAACGGTTTACTGGGTCATTAAACAGTAAATCAGTGACGATGGATTAGTTTTCTTCGGAAAAAGTAAATCGGTGACGATGGATTTATTTTGTTCCGAAACAGTAAATCGGTGACGATGGATTTATTTTGTTCGAAAACAGTAAATCGGTGACATGGATTTATTTTGTTCAAAAACAGTAAATCGATGACGATGGTTTACTGAGTTTGGAAATAGTATGGAAATAGAGAAAAAAGAAAATCGGAGTCGGTGGTTCACTGGATATTGGGTATTATAGCCTAGAGTAAATCGGTAACGATGGATTTATTTGGTTCGAAAACAGTAAATCGGCGATGATAGTTTATTGGCTATGAAAACAGTAAATCAGTGAAGCACTTTTAGATAAGATATTGTGGATGTGACGTTGGTTCAATAACACTAGAACGAATCTTATTTTCTGCTCATTAACACACGTAATACAATCGAGTTGAACGTCCGATGCCAAACTAAACCAACTAATGTGCTCAACGTACTCAATGGAAAACACACCCAATACTGGATTTACTTTGGCCGTTGAATCAACTGATTACACAGAATTAAAGCAATGAAT